ATTTGCTGAGTCTTTATATTTTCTTGTTTTGATGTGTAGAATTGTTAGTTTCCTTCGTGGTTACCTTAATATTTACGCCTAAGCTTAAACCACTCTTTTATTTCTTTATACTGCCTTGACTTCCTCTCCATATGAAAAATCTATGTCTACATTTTTTAAGTCCCTTTGTTTTAATGTTGTCATCTGTTACATATTGACATCTCTGTTTCCCTATTGTCAGCGTTTTAGCTTTGATTTATTTTTGTGACTTCCCTATCTGGCTTGATATCTGGTTGTTCTCTCCTGTGTTCTAGTCTTGGGTTATCTGATGTTATTGATTTTCTAACTGGAGGGCTCCCTTTAGTATTTCTTGTAATTTTGGTTTGGTTTTTGCAAATTCCCTAAACTTCTGTTTATCTGGAAATGCCCTAATTTTGCCATCATATTTGAGAGACAGTTTTGCTGGATATATAATTCTTGGCTGGCAGTTTTTTTTCCTTCAAGGCTTTATATATGTTATCCCATCACCTTCTTGCCTGCATGGTTTCCGCTGAGTAGTCCAAGCTTAGTCTTATTGACTCTCCTTTGTAGATGACTTTTCATTTATCCCTAGCCACTCTTAAAATTCTCTTCATCTTTGGTTTTGGCAAGTTTGATTATGTCTTGGTGACCTTCTGGGATCTACCTTATGTGGGGTTTGATGAGCATCTTGGATAGGTATCTTCTCATCTTTCACGATATCAGGAAACTTTTCTGCCAACAAATCGTCAACAATTCTCTCTGTATTTTCTGTTATACTGCCCTGTTCTGGTACTCCAATCACTTGTAGGTTATTCCTCTTGATACAGTCCCACATAATTCTTAGGGTTTCTTCATTTTTTTTTAAATCCTTTTATCTGATTTTTCCTCAAATAAGTTGGTGTCAAGTGCTTTATCTTCAGTCACACTAATTCTGACTTCCATTGCCTCAATTCTGCTCCTATGACTTTCTATTGAGTTGTCTAATTCTTTTTATTGTTAATCTTCTGGATTTCTGATTGCTGTCTCTCTATGGATTCTTGTAGCCTGTTAAATTTGTCATTATGCTCTTCTCTAATCTTCTTAAGTTCCTCTATTGCTCGGTCTGCCTTTTGCATAATTTCCTTCCTGATATCTTGAAGAGTTCTGTATATTAATCTTTTGTATTCTGCCTCTGGTAATTCCAAGAAATTCTCTTCCTCTGCAAAATTTCTTGATTCCTTATTTTGGGAGCTTTCTGAAGCCATCATGGTCTGCCTGTTTATGTGATTTGATATTTACTGTTGTCTACGAGCCATCAATAAGTTATTGTTTTATGTTTGCTTACTGTGTCCGAGCTTCTTTTTGTTTTGATATGCCCAAATAGGCTGCTCATGTGAGCTAGTCCAATCACCGGCACCCCTGAAGCTCCAAGGTCCTGCCACTAGGTGGCCAGACCTGCCACTAAGTTATGTGAGCCCAGGAGTCCGCCCACTCCTCCTGTATGGATTCAGCTCAGGTGCCCAGGTAGTCTGCCACCAATTGTGTGGTGCAAGCTCTCATCTACAGTCCTAGACAGGCATGGGTGACTGGTGTAGGCACAGGCATCTGGCTGCAGCAGGGGGACATAAGCTGAGCAAGGCAGGGGGCCGATGGCCGCCCCCGATTGTCTGGGAGAAAAATGTGTCCCTGTTCCCTAGACCATGTAGGTGGGTGGGTTTTGCAGCTGGACCATGAGCACCCAGTGCTGTTGGCTGTAAGGATTAGGGGGCACCTCTTATTTTTGGGCCTCTGTTGCAGGTGGCTAGGTGGCATGGGTGGAGCCACCAGTCCTCAGGCCCCTGATGTGTGTAGGTGAAGACCTTGTTTAATGGGCAGAGCAGTGTCACATGTCATGAACCTGCTACTTCACAGCTGAAATGGTTAAAGTTAGACTTCAGGTATGTACCCTGTTGTACCGTGGTAATGAGGGCCTATGCTGTCGAAATGGGCCATGCAAGTCTATGCAGGGGAAATGCACTGAAAGTCTGTGGACCCCTTATGCCTGTGCCTAGGCAAAGGTGCTGTGCCTACCCTGAGTTCCTGGCTTAGGGGAGCTGGCAGATTAGTTTTCCTGTTTGTTCATTTGTTCCCTCTCCAAGGCCAGGAGAATGGCTCAGGGCATGTGATGGGTCTTATTTCTGGTCCAGAGGACTCAGCAATTGCTGAAGCCGTCCCAGACCCAGTGCAGAGCAGGGAGCGGGGAGGTAAATGGGAGAGAGGTTTTTTCCCAAAGGGGGGCATTTTTAATCCATGCGGTAGGCCAGACATAAGTACTTATCTTTTGCCGATTGAGGGCTGCTTCTCATTGTTTCCAGATGTCAGAGTAGACTCTCTGCTGCTGGGTCTCTCCCAATGTGGAAAACTAGGCTGTAATCTTTACAGGAGTACATTACCAAATCTTTTCTGCCATGGACCAGCGGGGTGGGTTCAAACCGCAGAACTTTTGGGCAGCAGCGCAGTACTTAACCACTGCCCCACCAGAGCTCCTTAGTAAATAGAGTAAGACAGTGCAGAAGTTAAAGTGAGGAGATCAGTTAGGAAGCTATTTCAGAAGTCTAGGTAAGAGACAAAGGTGGTGAGGCATATGATCATAGCAGTGGGGTGGAGAAGAGTAGCCATATTTGGGACTTTTATTTTTTAAAAAAACAGAACACAAAATGCTGGTAGTTTGGATATGGAGTATGGAAGAAAGGGATGAGTAAAGGATGACTTTTCAGGCTTGAGCCTTTGCAATTGACTGAAAAGTTGTTAGGTGGTAGGTGCTGTCAAGTCAGCTCCAACTCATAGCAAGCTTATGTATAATGGAATGAAATGTTGCCTGGCCCTGTGCCATCTTCACAATTGTTACTATGTTGGAGCCCACTGTTGCAGCCACTGTGTCAATCCATCTCATTGAGGGTCTTCCTCTTTTTTGTTGACCCTCTTAATTTATCAAGCATGATGTCCTTCTCCAGGGATTAGTCCTTCCTGATGAAGTGTCAAAAGTAAGTGAGACAAAGTCTCACCATCCTCACCTCTAAGGAGCATTCTGGCTGTACTTCCCTCCAGGACAGATTTATTCCTTCTTCTGCCAGTCCATGGTATATTCAGTATTCTTCACTAACACTATAATTCAAATACACCAATTCTTTGGTCTTCCTTTTTTACTTCCAGCTTTTGCACGCAAGATGACTAAAAATACCATGGCTTGGGTCAGGCAAACCTTAGTCCTCAAGGTGACATCTTTGCTTTTTAAGATTTTAAAGAGGTCTCTTTCAGCAGATTTGGCCAATGCAGTAGGTCGTTTGGTTTTTTGACTGCTGCTTCCCTGGGCGTTGATTGTGGATCCAAGTAAAATAAAATCTGTGACAACTTCAATATTTTCTCTATTTATTATGATTTTGCTTACTGGTCTAGTTGGGAGGATTTTTGTTTTATGTTGCGGTATAATCCATAATGAAGACTGTAGTCTTTGATCTTCATCAGTAAGTGTTTCAAGTCCTCTGTGCTTTCAGCAAGCAAGATTGTCATCTGCATATGGCAGGTTGTTAATGAGTCATCCTCCAATCCTGATGCTGCATTCCTCTTCATACAGTTCAGCTTCTCAGATTATTTGCTCAACATAGAGACTGAATAAGTATGGTGAAAAGATACAACCCTGACACGCACTTTTCCAACTTTAAACCAGGAAGTATGCCCTCATTGTGTTTGCACAACTGTCTCTTGATCTGTGTAGCGGTTAGGCATGAATACAATTAAGTGTTCTGAAATTCCCAATCTTCACGATGTTATCCATAATTTGTTATGATCAACACAGTCGAACGCCTTTGCATAGTCAACAAAGCACAGGTAAACATCTTTCTAGTATTCTCTACTTTCAGCCGAGATCCATCTGACATCAGCAATGGTATCCCTTATTTCACATCCTCTTCTGAATCTAGCTTGACTTTCTGGCAGTAGAGAGGTCTAATAATGTTGGATTGGGGGTTTAAAGTTCTGAGGAGAGGGTGTTGCCAAGGCCTGGATGATATCTGACTGAGAAGTGGCTGGAGAACTGAATTTTGGGATGATCCAAATGATCAAATGGGTCAAATGCTGCTGAGAAGTGGAGTAAAATGAGAACTGAGAATGACCATTGAAGCTCATTGGTATAGGTCAAGAATAATGTCAAGGGAAAGGAGAAATTCTATCTGGAGTATGTTCAAAAGTGAATGTGCTACTTCAAATAAACTGAGGTTAGGGAAAATTGAGATGGAGGAGGAACCTAGATTGAAAAGAAATTAAAAGACATAGTCAATTGCAAAAGGTGGACCTTATTTGGATTCTGAGACAATTGGAATTCGAATACTGGCCTCATATTTGATATTAAAGATTTATTGTTAATTTATTTTTAAATGAGATAATGGCACTGGTTACATTAAGGAAATGAATCTATATCTTTTGGAAATGCATGCTGAAATACTTACAGATGAAATGAAATTATGTTAGAGTGCTAGAGGTAGTTATTGAGGGTGGTGATGAGTACACAGAGGTTGATTACATTATTCTCTCTGCTTTTGTGTATATTTGAAATGATCCATAGTAAGTGCAAAAAAAAAAAGAAAAGGCAAAACTGCTGAGAACTTTTATCAGAACAGAAATCTTATTTTTCACAAAAACATCTTGATTTTCATGAAAGTTACCAATTTGTTCTGCTCCTGTTAAAATACATCTCTACTTGGAAGTGTTATTTGGTCTAAAGATCTTTTAAGACTCCCACAAATTTAGAAATTTGCACCACTTGTTATGAAAATAACCTCTAAAAGAAACCTTGGTAATCTGTTGCCTGGAAATATTAAATAGACACTTCTGAATTCCTAAATGAAAATAAAAGTGAATGGATGATGAAGAACGAAGATTCAGAAAATTATATTAACTCCCAAACATGTTAACAACTATAGCTTTATTTACAAGTTATAAATACCATATAGACTCCAATCTCATTTTTAACGTTATATATATTAATACGCATTTATTTATATTCTATATATTTATATATATTTTCGACGTAGGTTTAGAGTTGGTATAATTTTGAAAAATACGTTTTATCGAGATTTTCTAGTTTCTATATAAGCCATATGGATGCTTTGTTTGTCTTAAGCGTTTAAAAAAAAAAAGGAACTGAGCTATGAGCCTCTCTTTTTCCTGACAGAAAGTACACAGAGAAGCAAACTCACCTCCAAAACCAGCTACTGATAATGCGTGCTACTGGGAGGCCGCTCAGGCGCAATAGCGACCTAGTGTTCTGAGGCGGGACTAGAGGCTCGGAGTAAAGACAGTCTTTTCAGCCAATCAAAGGACAGCGTCGAAGAGCTTCTTCCTGGAGAAGGAGAGCGGAAATCTGATTTCGGTGGCGGTGACGAAGGTGGCTACTAGTGTAAACCTAGAGCTGAGGTGAGTGGGCGGCGACGGTCTGGGGCTCCGATCTGCGTGCCTTTCTCCTTCCGGACCCCACTGCTTTCTCAGGACTGGGTTGGGGATGTGGGGAGGCCTGGCGAGGCTCGCCCTCCGAGGGCGCACGCTCGCCTTCCTCTCCCCTTCCTTCGGAGAGCGCGGCCTCCCGACCCCGGGAGTGGACAGCCGGCCGCAAGGTGCTGTCTGCGCGGCTGGCTCGAGGCTTCCTCCGGGTGGGGAGACCGAGCCGTACTGAGGTTGAGAGCCTGGGTTCTATTTCCTGCGCCGCCGGTTTTTTAATTTGTGTTGCCGTGGGCGAGTCATTTCCTCTCTGGCCTTTTATAAAATGGAAAGAATCATCCCTGCCTATCTTGCTTCAGGGGGCGGCTGTGAAAATCATCTGGGCTAATGGGGGTCAGAGGGCGGTATATCTCAAGCTTAATCGTCAGACTCACCTGGAGAGGTTTTAAAAACGACTTTTCAGAGCCCCCCCCCCCCCATAGACCAGCTGAATCAAATTCCTGAGGGTGGGCCCCTGGAATACTTTTTTTTTTTTTTTTTTTAAGATCCCCCCCCCCCGCCCCGCCCCCGAACGGAACGAACACTAGAAGGTGAATGTTGAGTCTTAACACTGTAATGCGTGGCGCTGGTTTTACTAAAATGAGTAAAACACCATCATCACCCTCGAAAAGCTCAATCTAAGGGGAAATAGCGAAATAAACACAATTTCTGTAATATATCAAGTCTCTGTGGTACAGTTAGAAGCTTCTTAGTTTACTGATTAAGAGAGCTGGGGCTCTGGAACTAAAAGGACCTCGGATAAGAATAAGAATCCCCGCTGTGCCATTTACTAATGTTTGATTTGGGGCAAGTACTTTCCCACATTGATCCCTGGGATCCTCACCATAGTATTATTATGAAAATTAAATAAGAGAGGATATAAAACAATGGTACCTGTCATGTAGTTGGCCTTTGGAAAGTGGCAACTTAAATAGAGGAGCGCTCATGGTGCTGAGGAGTACAGTACCGAACTCCCAACCTAAAAAGGCTTGTGTGGGGTGAAAGCTGGGCTGTCTAAAATTTTATTTTGATTGATGGTAATTCCCTAGTTTGATCTTTATGCTGTGGTTATAAAAGAACACTCTTGTTTTTTGGGATACACACTGAAGTATTTATGGATAAAATATGAGTGGCCAATAAAGCAAATGAGGGTAATGTTAAAATTTGGGAAATCAGGGTGAAGAATATGAGTTCTGAATTTGTTAAAATAAAAAGTTTTAAAAAGTTGATTTAACTGTTTGCAACTAATATAAGTGTGTTGTAAATAATTGAAACAATACTTAAGTATTTATAAATGCCCCCCTCCCCCCAACACACACATACTCTCCCCTTTTTCCCAAATGGCTGTATAGTATTATATAGACATCATATTTTATCCAGTCCTCAGATTGATGAAGGCATGGGTTATTTCCACTTTTTTCTACTCTTCAAACAGTGCTGCGTTAAACATCCTTGTACACGTTTTTGTATACTTGTACCAGTATTTTTATAGGATAAATTTCTAGGCATGGAATTGTTGGTTTAAAGAATATCAGCATGTAAAATTTTGATATTGCTATATTAAACTCCAGATATATATTAGGTTCTTTTCCCATCAGTTGTGCCTGAGAATTATTGGCTTACCACCTATGGGAGTCATGCAGTGGTAGTGATGATGGCAGCTTCTATGAAAGGTAATGGGAGGGTGTGCTCTTCACCTGAGAAGGCTTACCTGCTGGGCCAGAATAGCTAAGGGATTGCTTCTAAAGTTGGGGTGACCACTCTGAAGAAACTGAGTGTGATCCCTGCTGGAGCCTGCTACATAGGAAGTGTTCTGACATTTGCTGAATGATGAAATATTTGAAATCTTGATATTAGATGAAAAATAGCATTTTAAATTTTGTTCTGAAAAAGTATTAGTCTGAACATTTTCCCACCTTTGTTTGGCATTTGCATTTTTCTCCTTGTCATCCTTTGCCTATTATTATTATTTTGTAGCATTGTTTTTAAAAACTCATTCAGTGGCTCTTTGGATGATCAGGCATTTCCTAGGCACTGTTTGAGGTGCTGGAGACAGAGTTGCGAACAAGACAGGCAAAATTCCTGATACCATGGTGCTTTCTTTCTAGTGGGAATAGAGTCTGAAAATAAGTTTAAAAACATCAAAATGAAATTTCTAATATTTACTGTGTCATGTATTGCAAACATTTTTCTCCGAGTTACTGTCTTTTAAAATTGGCTTATGATATATTTTCCTGTGTAGAATTTTTTGTTCTGTTTTTTTGGTAAGTAAGTAGTTATCACTTACCTATTTTCCTTGATAGACTGTAAGCAGCACTAGGATGGAGACAGTTTCTCTTCATTATTCTTGAAAGATGGTATAGTGTAGTATTTAAGAGTTTAGGCTCTGGATCCTTGCTCTACTACTACTTCTATGACATTAGGCAAGTAGCTTAACTTTTCTGAGCCAGTTGTCTCTTCCCTAAAATGGGGGCAATAAGAGTACCTATTGCAGATTTCTCACAACCCTGAGAAAAGTACTTAGAACAGTGTCTGGCATATAGTGTACCCTTAAATATTAGCTGTCATAATCATCATGCCTTACACTCATTTCATACGTTAGAAAAATATTTGAAGGAATGAGTATTCATTAAGGATGTTTGAGCCCACTCTTTCAAATTCCCATTGGTTGGAGACTTCTTGAAATGGATGGAGCTGCTCAACAAATACTTATAAAGGTCCTATGTGCAAGACTGTAGATGCAGTGAGAACTATGATAATCACAATCTTTCCCCTCAGAGTTTATAGTCTGATGGGAGAGAAAAACAGGATAGTGGTACAGAGAATAAAAGAAGCATCTACTTTTGATCACGCTACTTTCTGAAGAGATGATAGTTTAAACTAATGTGTGAAGCCAGCCCCATGCCAGGAGCAGGCAGAAAAACATTCCAGTCAGAAAGAACAGCATGTGGAAAGGCCAAAGGCAGAAGAGCTTGATATAGTTAAAGAAATGTGGAAGAATACTAGACTGAAGACAATATTGCTGGTTTACTACAATAATAGACAAGATTATACTGGTTACTACACAGAAGAACAGTAGTGGAAGCAAAAATATTCCTGGAGAAGCTGTTGTATTCCAGGCAAGAAAGAATGATGGCTTGGCCAGAATTGATGAATTTGAGATACGGGAAATATACAGTCAGCAGGACTTGGTGACAGGTGTGACAGTGATGGGGAGTTGGTTGATAAAAATGGAGGATTAAGATAATGTTGAGGTTTCTGGTTGGAAACATTGGGTGGATAATGGAAAAGTTTTACTGAGATAGGGAAAGTTTAAAAACTAGGGGAGGGACAGGTCTGAAGTTGTTTGTATGATGGATGGAATCACAGATTTTTTTTTTCTTTTTTTTTTTTTTTGATGTCCTATAAGACATCCAGATGGTGCTCAGAGAGGCAGTCTGGACTGGAGATAGAAACTAGGGAATCAAAAACATACGGATCAGGGTTTTTCCACCTTGACACTTGTCATTTTAGGCCAGATAATGCTTTTTTTATGGGAGGCCGGCCTGTGTGTAACAGTATCCTCAGCCTCTACCCATTAGGTGCCACTAACAGTCCCCTTCCCAAATGTCTTCAGACCTTACCAAATGTCCTTTGGGGGGCAAAATTGTCCTCGGTTGAGGACCACTGATAATAGATGGCATTAAAAGCAATGGAATTGATCTAGATCACCCAAGGTGGAATAGAACAAGGTTGTTACAGAACAGAGTCTAAAACTAGTGGCCTGCAGACCCCAAAGATTATGTGTATATGTATACATATATATATACACACGTATATATACGCGTGTATATATAGGCTCCACAGAATTTCACATAAAAATCTAGATTTCTCCCCTCTCCCAGAAAATCAGGAAACTGAGGGACAGTGAACCTTTATTCCCACATGAATCTTATTATCTGGAGGCTTTGAGATCTGGCACACATATGCTTTGTTCACCATAATCCCTGCCCCCCAAGTGCTTCACTCTTTGTTTCCTGCCTTTTCCCTTTGGTATTTGAGTTTGTGCTTCTCTAATTTAGAGAGGAACAGGCCCAGGATAGAGCTCTGAGGCATACTAACATTAAAGTTTTGGCAGACAAGGAGAGGCAGCAAAGGAGACTGAGAGGGAGTGGCCAGTGAGGGAGGAGAAAAACATGAGTGTAGGGTCACAGAAGCTGAGGGAAGAGGAAAGTGTTGAGAAGGAAGAAGCAGCAACAGTTATGCTGCTAAAGAGATTAAAGTGAACACAGAAAGTTATCCATTGGAGTTGGCCATGTAGTGATTGTTGATGAGCAGTTTTAGTGGAGTGGCAGGGGCTTAAAGCCAGATTGGAGAATTACAAAAATGAGTATGCAGAAGAGTAGGAAAGCAGTCAATTGTGGGTTGGTACAGTAGTCATAATGAAGGAGCCCTGGTGGCGCAGTGGTTAAGAGCTTGGCTGCTGACTGAAAGGTTGGTAGTTTGAACTCATCAGCCGCTCCTTGGGAGAAAGATATGGCAATCTGCTTCTGTAAAGATTTACAGCCTTGGAAACTGTATGGGGCCATTCTACTCTATCTTTTAGGGTCGCTCTGAGTCGGAATTGAGTTGATGGCAGTGGGGTTTTTCTCCCCCTTCAGTTGGCACAAATAGTTTGTGCTTGACTACTACTGACTTAAAAAGTGGGTGGTTCAAACCCACCCAGTGGCAGTGCAGAAGAAAGGCCTGGCAATCTGCTTCTGTAAAGATTTCAGCCAAGAAAACCCTGTGGAGCATATGGGGTTGCCGTGAGTCAGAATCAACTCAATGGCAATGGGTTTTTTTAATAGTCGGATTAAGAATGTTGCCCCCTTGACTCTTAGCATCATTCTCTGCACTACTTTGGCTTGGTATAAACTCAGCTGCCTCACAGCTGCCCTCAGTACCTCACAAATTCTAAGTATAAAAATGCCTTTGGTATGCTACTTGCCCCTTCTGTTGTTAGAGCATGTTGTTATATCTTAAAACCGATAAAAATCAGTTTGAAAGAGCAGTTGGAATCTTCTCATTTTATGATATACCTAGGTTTAAAATGGAATAAGTAGAGTTTATGTGGCCAGGGAAGATACATTTGGATTTGAAATTTCTATAGTAGATGTAGAAAAGTTACTGCGTTAATAACAAATTGTAGAGTACATTGTGGGAAAAAGGGTATAAATTAAATTATCACTTCATCCAGGAAACTCAGATGATACCAGGTGTCTAAATGTGAATAATGTTAATTTTGTCATAGTGTTTATTAAAGTTATACTTAAGTGTTTGCTTTTGAAAATCAACCAGTAATATAAAATAAAAGTGATTGGGCTGTGAGGTGGGGACATAGCATGTGTAGTTTGGCCGTGTAGAGAAATGGGGCTTAACTGGTGAGGGATGTAGAATCAAGATTTTTTTTTAATAGATGGAAAGATCCTATAGCATATTTTCCATGCTGATGAAAGTATGTAGTAGAGAAAAAAGATACTTAGATGATTGAGGATATAATGCCTAACTGGAAAAGGCTGGCAGCCTTTCCCTGTTATAAATGTATTAGTTTTAGAAACTACAAGATTCTTCTTGCCTTGGGCCCCATCCTGCCAGAGGAAAATATTCTGTCTGTAGTCACTAATTGTGACATTGTTTTGTAGTTCTGCTCTAAATCTTTGATCAATTTCCGTAGGTTCCTGATCTTCCACAATGGGTGAACCACAGCAAGTCAGTGCACTTCCACCACCTCCTATGCAGTACATTAAGGAATATACAGATGAAAATATTCAGGAAGGCCTCGCTCCCAAGCCTCCACCTCCAATAAAAGATAGTTATATGATGTTTGGCAACCAGTTCCAATGTGATGATCTTATCATTCGCCCTTTGGAAAGTCAGGGCATTGAACGGCTTCATCCTATGCAGTTTGATCATAAGAAAGAACTGAGAAAACTCAATATGTCTATCCTTATTAATTTCTTAGACCTCTTAGATATCTTGATAAGGAGCCCTGGGAGTATAAAACGAGAAGAGAAGCTAGAAGATTTGAAGCTGCTTTTTGTCCACGTGCATCATCTTATAAATGAATACCGACCCCACCAAGCAAGAGAGACTTTGAGGGTCATGATGGAGGTACAGAAACGTCAACGTCTTGAAACAGCTGAGAGGTTTCAGAAGCACCTGGAACGAGTCATTGAGATGATTCAAAATTGCTTGGCTTCTTTGCCTGATGATTTGCCACATTCAGAAGCAGGAATGAGAGTAAAAACTGAACCAATGGATGCTGGTGATGGCAACAGTTATACTGGACAGAATGAACAACAGAGAGAAAATTCTGGTCATAGGAGAGACCAGATTATAGAGAAGGATGCCGCCTTGTGTGTCCTAATTGATGAAATGAATGAAAGACCCTGAAGGATGGTTTTTTTCCTTTTCTTTTGTCCTTTCAGTAAATAGCATTATATATTGTTTTTCTTTTGTCCTTTCAGTAAATAGTATTATATATTAGTTTATTTTCTCATGGACAGTCTGAAAAGAGGTATAACTAAAAGCCATGTAAGTGACTTTTATCTTGACTCCAGCTTTGTCAATTATGAAATGTTACAGGCAGTAATTTCAGTTAATAGCAAGTATAGACAAATTGAGTACCCCTGCATTAAGAGTCATCACCTTAAACAGCAAAATGTTTGCTGCTATTGTGTGGGACGTTCCTGTTTTTGGAGTTGCAGTAGAACTTTGAAGATATCCTCAGTAATAGCAAGCTTTCATTCTGGAAAAGTAGATTTGTAATTTGCTTTAAGTATGATAAAGGGTTTCAAGCTTTGTAAATGTGAAATTATGAAATCTTTAGACTTATTTCACTTAAAAATTTGCTTAACATCTCTAAAAGGTAGTGTAACATGTTAAAAGAGAGGATGCCGTAGAGTTGATGTAACAGCAACTTTATTTTTCCTCATGACTGCTACAAACCCACTGTCCCAGCGTTTTCTCCCCATTCTGGATGGAATATTGGGTGGGTTTCATAACTGTTTTTTTTTCTCCCAGTCACCAGTCCTTTGGTTACTTTTAGTTGCAGACAATTTTAGTAAATTAAAATGTTTATGTAATTAACTACACATTTCCTTTAAAGCTAAGTTCAGACTTGCTTAAGGCTGAAGGCCGTAATGGGGAAGGGGCTTGGTGGCAGAGACTGCTAGATGTCCATTAGAGGTTCTTGCTTCCTTGAGAGAACATTGCTGAGATATGGCTGTACAGCCAGGGACTACATTTCTGCAACCCTCTTGCATCTATGTCAGGCCATGTGAATAAGTTCTGGATAATGGAATATGGTTATAGGAATCCCAGCCTGCCCCATAAAAATTTCTTGGATGATTCTCCATTCTCTTCTCTCATCTGCTGGCTGGGTGGCCACACCTAGGATAACTTTGGAAGCCCTTGAAGATGGCAAAGGTTCAGTCAATTTAGGTCTTTGCATGACTATGAGGCCCTCCCTTCGTTAATCACCACCCCTCTCCTCCCAGCTGGTTAGACTTTATGTGAGCAAGAAGTAAACTTGTTTTGAGCACCGAGATTTTATTTCTGCACTTTCTTCTCCCCTAACCGTTTTCTGCCAAGGTCTTGTTGGCAAGTCTGCCTTACATCTGAGAAACTCTGCCTGCCATTCTCTTAATGTAGGCCAGTGGTTCCCAAAGCCTTGGACCAGCAGCATTAGCATCACTTGGGGACTTGTTAGAAATGCATATTATCAGGCCCTACTCGAGACCTACTGAATCAGAAACTGGAGATGGGACCCAGCACGCTGTGTTTTAACAGGCCCTCCAGGTAATTCTCATGCACACTAAAGAAGCACCTATGTAGGTAATGCCTTTTCCCAGATGCTTGCTTTTGATTCTTGCCTCAGCCCCTGGTTCCCAGCATAGCACCCTTCAGAGATTTGCTCTATTAAGGTCTCGTTAGTCCTAGTGCTAGCAAAGTCCAGTTTAAAATAGCTACAGACCAATTCTGTGTGTCAAACATTCATGCATCTTTTGCCTTCACAAATTGTGGGAGTACAGGCTGTTCGCAAGTAGACACCCCTTTATCAGAAAGGCAGCTGTTTGGCCAGTCTCCTGTCTTTTTTTTCCCACCCCCCCCACCCCATATGTCTTAATAGGCCTTTGGACTCCAGAGACTCCAGGGGATACAGTCCAGCTCTCTCGAGCTTAAATCTAAGGATGAGCACCCCTCATTGGGGAGCAAGACAGAAATTGCACAACAGTGCAGCAACTCACAAATCTTTGACCTCAACGCTTTTATAATCTTGGTGATGGTGTTGGGCTAAAAGGTCCAAAACCAGTTTTTGACTACTTTTCAAATCTTTAAGTGTGAATTGCTGTATTTAAGAAACTAAGGAAATCATATAACATTGTCACAAGAGTCAGAACAGTCATTTGTGTATTAATTTGTGTGGGATGAGGTTGGGAATGGAGGATTGAAGGATTAAAATCCCATGGAGATCTTACATTTAGACCTCTGGAAGATCTGATTTTGCAGGTCTTTGTGTGGGACCTTACATAAACTCTTAAAGGGTTCTGATGTGACTCCCTGTGATTTTCCGTGATTACAGTTTAATGAACAAGCAGTAGTAGTCTGATAATTTGTTGCAAGTTTAAAATCTTATCTCTCTAAAAGTCTTTCAGTCTACTGAGGATTAAAATATATATCTGCACTCTTGGTTATAATGAATATTCTTGAAAGATTGATTCCTCAAAGTAAAATATCTGGAAGAATCACCTGGGTAGCTCTTGAAATTACCAATCCCTAGACTACAGAGATTGCAAATTCATTGTTCTGAAGTGGTGCCCTGACATTCGTTTTAAGAAATCTACAGATGATTCTGTGCAGTGGGTTAAAAAGAATTGCGTTAGTTGGTGCTCTAGTAGGTACAGGAAGCCTACTTGAACTAGTTTAAGCAAAAAGATTTTGTTGAAAGGATACTGTGGTATGTTGTATGACTGAAGGACAAATTGAACAGCCAAACCTTGGGGAAGACAGGGAGGGTCTCCAGGGCAACAGGGACTCAAACTCCATGCAGACCTTCTGAGTCTCCTACCTGGCTTCTGTCTGTGAGCTTTATTCTCTTTACATACTAGCTTCTTTAATGGTGCAGGGTGGGCAACATGACTGCTAACTGCTGTCCTGTGCTAAGCTTTTGTACTGCTACCACTGTCTGGGAGCTGCCTCTGAAATACAAATTAAAAAAAAAGGTGGAAGGCTAACTAGTCAACCTTACTTTGGGAGGAAGTAGGGATTGCATGCTTGGATCCTGTAAGAATTCGACAGTCCCCACTATGTCCATGTATAGATGGAGCAGTCAACCTCTTAGAGGAAAGAAGGAGTGCTGAGCTGACAATACTATGAATATCCAGTACAAATTAAGCACGCGTAAACTTAAATAGCAAAAGTAAACAGGTTGTACTACTTCATATTCCCTTCATCTGTATGAGAGTTCCCCCCCACCCCTTGCGTTCCTTTATTTACTCATTGTATTCATTTCATATTTATTGTGGTCATCTTTATGCCTGATACTGGTTTAGGTGCTGAGCATTGGGGTAGGGCAGTGCAGAAAAGATAATAAACAAGGAAAGGAATTGATTTCTGAAGGTGGTAAGTTTGTGCCTTAACTACCCGGCCATTATAGGAACTCAGAAGAATATTGCCAGTTCGTATTTCCTACTCAAAATACCTTATCCACATTATCTTTTCTTTTTTTTCAAGGTATGTTTACATGTTCATATTTACTTAAGGACTTTGCAAGGCCTCCTCAACTATTTTGCTGTGCTGTGTTTCCAAGAAAATACCTGTGCTGAGCTCTGTTCTCACAAGGAACAGTAAATACGAATGTTTCATGAGGAAATAAAAAGTTGGCATGATTTGGATGCAGAGAGGCTAGATGGCTGCAGCATAGTGCGGGAGGATAATCACTCAGTGAAGCCAGTGAAATAGAGGAGGGCAGATGTACAGAATTTAGAAGGCCAAGGGGAAGACTAATTTTGATCTTAAATCTGATGGGAAATAGACAGCAAACACATAGATAGCACTTTATGGGCACTGTTCTAATCACTTTACATATATATAGTCATTTTATCCTTACAACATCAGTATTTATTTATTTTATTGAGTTTTTGGTGAGAGTTTATACAGCAAGTTAGGTTCCCATTTGACAATTACTGCAAGTTGTTCACTGACAGTTACATTTATCACAATGTGTCAATGTTCTCTTTGTGTTCTGTTTTTTCCATTTCCAGCACTCTAGTTCCCCTGCCCCCTTACCTTCTCTTTGCTTTTGAGTAATTGTTGACCTTTTCTCATACTGATGGTTTTTAAGTAGAGCACTGATCTTACAGGTAATATCCTTTATTTTCTGTGCTACTCTGCCATTTTGCTAAAGGGTGATCTCGGGTAGGCTCGGTCCTAGGTTTAAAGAGTGTCTCAGCGCGATATTCTCATGGGCTCTTCTGTTCTCTATTGTTCCAGTTAGTCTGCCTTTTTTTTTTTTTTTTTTTAAATAAGAATTTGAGTTCTACTCCTTGTTTTTCTCTCATTCTATCTGGGACCATCTATTGTGACCCCAGGCAGTAGTGGTAGCCAGGCACCATCTAGTTCTTCTGGTCTCGGTAGATGACATTGTGGCTTGGGTAGACTTGTTTCTTTGAGTTTTTGGTTACCTTCTCACTGTTTTGCTCCTGTTGAGTAGAGACCCATAGTTGTGCCTTAGGTGGCTGCTCGCAAGTTTTTAAGACCCCCAGACGCTACTCACTTCGCTAGGATGCAGATCATTATTTTCGTTTTTTATATTATGCCAATTGACTGAGCTATCCCATGAGACTGTGGTCCTAAGCTTTCAAACCCAGGAAACCAACGTTGGAAGGTGTTTGGTTATGTCTGACGAGTATCCATATTTGTATCTTAAATGAATATATGTGCCTGCATCCTCGTTTGTATTTACATTGCCAATAGGTTGCTGTGAGTCGGAATCAACTCGACGGTAACAGGTTTATAGGTACTTCAAAGGAGTCCTGGTGGTGCAGGGGTTAAGAACGTGGCTGCTAACCAAAAGGTCAGCAGTTTGAATCCACCAGCCACTCCTTTGAAATCCTATGGGGCAGTTCTACTCTGTCCCGTAGGGTCACTATGAGTCAGAATCACCTCGACAGCAATGGGTTTGATATTTTTGATGTATAGATACTTCAAAGGAGCCCTGGTGGCACTGCGGTTAAAGTGCTTGGCTGCTAACTGAAAGGTCAGTGGTTTGAACCCACCAGCCACTTCACAGGAGAAAGATGTGGCAGTCTGCTTCTGTAAAGATTCACGGCCTTGGAAACCCTATGGGGCAGTTCTCTTCTGTCCTACAGGGTCACTATGAGTCGGAATCAACTTGATGGCAGTGGTTTTGGTTTTCGGTTTATAGATACTTCTATCTGTTCTCACCTATGTACACACCTGTACCTACCCACATACCAGTATGACTATACCCATCCATATGTGCTCACTCATTTTCACTTTTGTTGTGCTGTGCTCACTACATCCACATTCAGTACCACTTTTCCCATCACCAAAATAATAAATAAAAAGTCTCTATGATCTCAAGCATACTTTCCCCTTCCCCCTCTTCTCCTTGGTAACCACCAATGAACATTCGTCTCTCTATATATATCTATTCTTGTCCTCTTATAAAAGGGGGATCGTACAATATTTGTTTTTATATGCTTGACTTATTTCACTTTGCATTATACCCTCCTGGCCCATCACTGTTATAATATGCTTAACTGACTCATTGTTCTTTATGGTCGTATAGTATTTTACTGTATGTATGTACCACAATCTGCTTATCCGTTCATCCATTGATGGACACTTTGGTGGTTTCCATGTATTTGCTGTTGTGAATAAAGCAGCAATGAACATAGGTGAGCATATGTCTGTTGGTGTCATTATTTTTAGGTCTCTAGGATATATACCTAGGAGTGGGATTGCTGGATCATAGGGTGCTTCTATTTCTAGATTTTTGAGAAAGTGCCATGCTGTTTTCTGTAGTGGTTGTACCATTTTACAGTCCCACCAGCAATGAATGAGGGTTCCAATCTCCCCACATCCTTGCCAACATTTGTTATCTTTTTTTAAATGGGTGCCATTTTAAATGGGGTAAGATGGTGTCTCATTGTAGTTTTGATTTGCATCTCTCTAATGGCTAATGGGAGTCCTGGTGGCGCAGTAGTTAAGAGCTCCATTGCTAACTAAAAGATTGGCAATTTTAATCCACCGGCCGCTCCTTGGAGACCCTATGGGACAGTTCTACTCTGTCCTATAGGGTCACTATGAGTCGGAGTCACCTAACAGCAATGGGTTTGATGTTTTTGGCTTATAGATACTTCAAATGAGCCCTGGTGGCACTGTGGTTAAAGTGCTTGGCTGCTAACTGAAAGGTCAGTGGTTCAAACCCACCAGCAGCTCCTTGGGAGAAAGATGTGGCAGTCTGCTTCTGTAAAGATTTACAGCCTTGGAAACCCTATGGGACAGTTCTACTCTGTTCTATAGGGTCACTATGAGTTGGATTCGACTCAATGGCAGTGGGTTTTAATAGCTAATAATCAGCAACATCTTTTTGTATGTTGGCTGCTTAGATGTCCTCTTTGGTGAAGGTTCTGTTCATGCCCTTTGCTCATTTTGTGATTGGATTATTTGTCTTTTTGTTGAGTTTTTGCCATTTTCTATAGATTTTAGAGATTAGACCCTTATTGGATAAGTTGTTTCTGGAGTTTTTTCCTAGTCTGTAGCTTATCTGTTTAGTCTTCTAATAAGTCTTTTGATGAGCGTAAGTTTTTAATTTTTATGAGGTCTCATTTATTTGTGTTCTATTCATGCATTTGCTGTTATGTTTATTCTATTTTTGCATAAGATTGGGTCCCATAGTTTTCTCCCATGAATTTTATGGTTTTAGATTTAACATTTAGGTCATTGATCCATTTTGAATTAGTTTTTGTGTATGGTGTTAGGTATGGGCCCTGTTGCGTTTTTTTGCAGGTGGATATCCAGTTTTGCCAGCATCTTTTATTAAAGAGATGTTTCTGCCCCAGTGAATGGACT